GGATCAGGTCCCCTCTTAGTCTTCTTTTCTCAAGGCTAAACAGACCCAGTTCACTTCTCACAGGGGAGATGCTCCAGGCCCTTCACCATCTTTGTGTCCCTCTTTCTAAGAGATCCCTGTCATTTTTGTACCGGGGAGCCCAGAACTGGACACAGTACTCCAGATGAGGTCTTACCAGGGCAGAGTAGAAGCAGAGGATCACCTCCCTCAACCTGCTGGCCACGCTCGTTTTTATGCACCTCAGAATGATTGGCCTTTTTGGTCACAAGGGCACACTGCTGGCTCATGGCCAACCTGTCGTCCACCAGGACACACAGGTGCCTCTCAGCAGAGCTCTTCTCCAGCAGGTCATCCCCCAACCTGTACCAGTGCATGCAATTATTCCTCCCTAGATGCAAGACTCTACACTTGCTTTTGTTGAACCTCATCTGGTTTCTTACTGCCCAGCTCTCCCTGAATGGCAGCACAGCCTTCAGGTGTGTCAGCCAATCCTCCCAACTTCGTATCATCAGCAAACTCGCTGAAGGTGGCCACTATCCTCAGTACAAGCTGTTCCATCACCTTTCCAGGGACAGAGGTGAGGCTGACTGGCCTGTAATTACCTGGATCTTCCTTCTTGCCCTTTTCGAAGACCTGAGTGACATTGGCTAACCACCAGTCTTCAGGCACCTCCCCCATTCTCCAAGACCTTTCAAAGATGTCAGAGAGTGGTTCAGCAATTACCTCCGCCAGCTCCCTCACCACCCGTGGATGCATCCCATTGGGTCCCATGGATTTATAAACATTTGTGTTGCCTAGGTGCCCTCGGACTAAAGGGAAGTCTTCCATTCCCCAGATTCTCTCACTAACCTCCAGGGTCCGGGATTCCTGAGGGAGAGCTTTTTCACTGAAGACAGAAGCAAAGAAGGCATTCAGTATCTCCGCCTGCTCAGCATCCCCCATTACCAGAACACCCCCTCACTTAGTAGGGGAGCCTCATTCTCCCTAGTCTTCCTTTTACTGTCAACATACTTTAAAAAGTCTTCTTTATTATCCTTCATCACCTTCGCCAGATTCAATTTCAGGTGGGCTTTAGCTTTCCTCGTCGCACCCCTGCAGGCCCTGACAACATTTCTATATTCTTCCCAAGTGTTCAGACCCTTTTTCCACATTTCTTCTGTTAGAGTTAAGGGTTAGATAAATGTTAGATAACCCTTCTAACCAAAGGTTAGATAACCCTTCTCCACCTTCCTTTCCTGATTTAATTACTAGAAACACACTACTAAGAAATAAAGGAACCCTTTTTCTTTCTGTCACTGCTGATAGATTTAACATTTCGGATTCTTATGACATACGCATGATTTATGTAAAGCCATTCATGTAGTTTTGTTACTACTGCTTTTTAAAAGTGCAATTGATCCTTTTGCCAAAACACTTACAGATGGTTTCAGCACCAGATGGACACTAACTAGACCATTACCCTTCCTTTTCCAACAATAAGAAGTACAACTAATAATTTATAACTGCTTGATAAATATCATTCCACAGTTTTATTAACTAATTGGAGTTCATCAGGGTTGTCTCAAAGGGTAAACGATTACCTTCTTCAAAGTTCAAAGGGTAAATGGCTATTTAGGAAAGAGATGCTGTTATTGGAAGAACAAGAAACATTTCAATCATCTTTACTTTATCCACAGTGTTTATTTTCATTATCCTTTTTACAGCCACTGGGAGGAATTTGCTGCCAACTTTCTGTTACCTATTAACATTTAAATTAAAATTCCACTGTGAAGTTTTTTTAAGGGCATGAGGAGTCATTAGCCAACACTTGAACTGGCAAACTGAGAGGTAGGTGCCATCTCTGGGTTTGTATGCAGGGCATTAATGCAATTCCTAGACAAACCAACCTGGATGATTTGAGAATCATAGTACTTCAAGGAAACTAGCTTCAGATTAGTTTATTTTAGTTGTATGAATAAGCTTGTCTAGTTTTGCTGATACAGAAGTAACTTCAGGAGGCAAAAGATTTTCAAAACAAGGTTCCAGAGTGTACTTAAGCTCAGAAATATTTAAAATATGAAAAAAAATAGACTGCAGCTTGATTTAGTAGTAAATTCAAGCATCTTAGTCTACAAGCATCTTAGTATTCTGAATCAGACTGATAAAAACATTAAGAAGGATCTAGCTGGTGATAATGAATGCATTCAAGCCATTCTAGAGAATTCTGTTTCTGAATAAATGCCAATAACATGATTAGAACGTCATGGTGAACTTATTTAATGTCAATGTCATGTCTTTATTAAGAATACAATTAAGTTTTCATTTTTTTAATGTGACTGTGAGACATACTGCATACAGAGTATGCCATTATGAAATTAAGAATCACATAATTGCCTCAGAATAAGATGCTTAAATTATGACATCTCATTTCGCTTAAAAAATCTTTATATATTTGAACAGTATTTTAAATATTTTAATGTGCAGTCTCAATAGAATATGATTTGCAAATCTTTTTTAAAGACAATTAGAAACCATTTATAAAATGTTTCAGTTTGTTATTACTGAGTTTGCATGGCCTTAAAAGCTAACTGGTGGCATTATATCCAGTCAATCAACATAACCTCACACAGTGACCTAACTTTGTGTTTTGCTGGTAACCACAGCTCTCAGTTGAAGATCACTGGCATTGAAGAGCATCAGAATACAGGAAATTATAAGCCTATAGTGTGTTTAAGTGTGCAGTATTTAGGCATTGTCTTGTCCAGATTTCCTCTTGAATAACCTCAAAATTCACTACAGAAAAGATTATTTATCTAAAAAAGAAAATAACCCGTGTTCTACATAATTTTATTCACATTGGTGAAAAACACTGTTCTAGAAACCTAGCAGGAAATTTTCTAAATCTTCATTAGAATTAAGGATTTATCCAAAGAGAAATGGAATTGTTAAGTAGAAAGTACTTACCTAAAAAGTAGAGGGAATAGAACTATTCTAGTTCCTCTCAAAACAGTAACAAAATTCTATTATTAAGAGTTAAAAAAAAAAACCAAAAAAAAAGAGAAAGAAGAGAAGAGAGAGACAACTCTCGAAAAAAGGTCTACAGTTTAAATGGCAGTGGCTGCTAGGGATGTTGTCAAAGAGCTTGCAGCCAGGGACACCTAGAGCAGTCTAGATAACAATGACCGACAGGTCAGCAAATGGTAAGTATACTATGTAGGCTGTTTGTTGAATTCAAAACATTTGAATTTTTCTTCATTTTCAAGTGAAAAAGGTGATACAAATATATATTTTTTGTCATGTTTTTTGAAGGTAGGAAAGATATCTAGTCAAGTCATTTTTATTTAAACAAGAAAATCCACAGGCTCAATACTGCCCCTGCTGTCTGCAGGGGCAGCACCTAGAGGGACAACTGAGGAAACTTCCAGAAACAAGACCAAAACTACTTCCCATTATTTCACAATCGACTAGCTCCTGCAGCAAAATCTACCTGTGCCAAGTGGGACAAAAACATTTTGAAACTGCAAAGTCCTTGCCTGAGGGAATTGTCATAGGGAAACAGAGTTCCAAACAATGTGATATTGCTTATGCAAGCTGAGACGCAAATATTAAAACTATTTTTCCAAATAACATACAATTGGAACTTCAAGGTTTGAAGATTTTTTATAGAGAACTTGTGTTACGATTATTATCTGATTATTATCCCATCTAAGTTGGCACAATAACAACAGAGCATAAAGGAACAATATCATGCCATGGGAGCAATGTGAGTGAAAGACTACATAATAAAGCATTTTTTCCTTAAAACAGTTCTCTATAGCTAGTACTCTACAGGAAAAAAAAAAAATAGTACAAAATAAAACAAACAAGAAACTGTACCATTTGTCATGACTGACAGGAGACTGGAGCACACAGATACTAAAACAACTGGATTGCCGGATAAAAAATGCTGGCTATGTTTCAAAACTCCAATATTCTGGAGAGTGCTTAAGCAAATACACATGCTAAATATCTACCTATTCTTAAAAATACTTACCTAAAGTGCTCCTAAGACTAAACAAATCCACGGAAAAATTAAGACAAAAATATCATTAAACAAGCACTTCTTAAAATAAATTAAGAAGAGCACATTTTGAAGTTTCCTTAATCCATTCACAAACACAATCCCAACTATGTCTTATTTTTTCTTGTAGTTCTTAGTGGAACAATTGTTGTTACTATCTTACAACACAACTAATGGAAACATTCAATAAGTTTCTCTTTACTGGGATTTTGTCTTGCCAATAGTAGTGACTCATATTCCTGCAAATACACTCTCAGTGGGGCAAATTCCTCATTTATCCTTCATTCAGTAAATCCAAATGCACTGAGGTACACTGAGATAGTTTTGTTTTATATCATTGTAACAACCTTTACTGTTGGAAGAAATAGTGTTTGATTTACTATAGAAAGACCTTATTTTGCACTTTTAAGAATAAAACAAAATAGAATGGAATGTATAAAAAAGACAAAAAGGAAGCCCCTGCCCATTTGCTTGCCTTATAATGAGAAAAAAATTGTCTTTGGAGATTCTGAGACACAATAAGCCATGAACCTATGTAGAATTAGGATAAATTCGGTTTGCAAAATTACTCAACATATTCTAGAAGATGTCTTTTTATTTTTTATATACTCTCAGCTATTAGTGCACAATAGGTCAGAGAGTAACATTATTCCTTCAAGCTGCAGATAATCAGGTAAAATAATGACTTCATTTTCAGATTCTATAAGAAACCTTCCTAGCATGTGGGTCTAATAGTTTTCTGGCACACTAGAACCTTAGGGAATAGATGAACTTTATTGTTTGCCTGTGGTCATTTTATCTGGTAAGGATTATCAAATTTAAAACTTAACCTCCAGTGGTTACTCAGTCACAGCTAAGGCCAACAATGCTTGGCAAATACATGAGAGCAAAACGTAAAAACTAGCTCTTGTTCTTTGCATTATAGTGAAAGGTAAGAAACCATAAAAAAAACAAAACCAACCTGATTACAGAGTTTGGAGTTCATACAATTCTCAACAAAAAACCATACCTGTAATAAAAAGACCCAGACAGTATCTACAAAAGGAGCCCAGTGACGTGTGAAACAGTAAGAATCAAAAGTTGAAAGAATTTTCAAAGAAAGCAGGAAAGTCATTAAGATAAAATTAAAAACAGTGGGAAAAGAATACCCTCAAAAAAATAGATTTAATCATAAGGTTGATTGAGATGTCTGTGAAAGTTGATAATGAGTGGCAATAAGATTTATAAGTAAATTAGATATAATAAAAAGGTGTTAATTTTTAATAAGACGAGTTCTTATTAGAGACTAAAAAGAAATTCAGACTTTTAAAGTTTTATACTTCACTTATGAAGCCTTCAGAATTTAGTCTGTACCTGAGTCAATTTTATAGGACTTTTTTTTGTGTGTGTGATTATAAGGAAATCTCCTTTCTCTAAGTTTGCACAATAGTCTCAAAATAATACACTGCCCACTGCCTTTGGTTAACCACTCATGGCTGCATGAAGACAATTTTGCTTCTAAAAGATGTAGATTTCTGTATACTTAATTTAGACAGCGGATGTTTTCATATCTATACAGTACTGCTGTTCTATTGTTGACCCAGATCCGCAAGGAATCCACTCATCTTGTGTCAGGCCTGTGAATCTGTGAGGACTGGAAATTTAAGCACTCATTGCCTCTCACTGTAGTTCATTGGTAGTGTTTCTGTATGACTGTCCTGACCCAGACAATGGTTTGCAAGCCACTTCAAAAAAGACGTATGACCTATTGCCTATTATTTCCAATACTATTAATCTACCACCACATCCAGCGCTCATATTTACCAGAAGGTTCTGCAAAATTCTGCTCTGAAACCAAAACAGTGACAAATAAAAATATAGATACTCAATAACATTTCTACAGATGAAGAAATTAATAGTGAGTTGAATTTCAGTAATCAGATGTAAGATTTTTCCTGGTTCCAGCTTCCCCCCCACTAATACTTCAATTCTTATGCGCACCATTTAGTCATTCATCGTAGCTCAACTGATGTGATATAAGAAACAGTCATTCTTCCTAATTGCTTTGTAGGAGCAATGTTATGTATGCAATAACAGGGGAAAAAAAGCACCAATAAAGCACTATAAATTCCCGTTCTGGAAACTGAAGACCTCACCCACACAGCATCTAGTCACCCTTATGGATCCTTCAACAAACAGGCAAGAAATATGCAAGAAAAAGAGGAGAAAAACAAACAAACTTAATCCAAGGAATAGAAGAGATCTCTGATAAAAAGTTAAATTGTAGTTCACACTCTCAAACTTAGATAGAACAAAACAATATTGTAGAATATATAATACTGATTGTACACAGAGGAAAGAAGGAAGAACATACAGTCTTGGTGGTCGGAATATGACAGCATTGTGAGTAGCCAAGGGCGACCACTATCCAGAGAAGCTGTCATAACACAAAATTCATCTCCCTTCCATGTCTCTAAAGCTGGCCTGGCAAACAGCATTTATTGGTATCAGTACTCACAGCAGTGAAGAATGATCCATGAAAAACGATACCTTTGAATCCTTCTGTAGCTCAGTTTCTCAGCCTGCATAGAGAAGGGTCTTGGTAGAGTGTTGGTTTGGTTGTTTTTTTTTTTTCCACATATTGCACTAGTGAACAGAAAACAAAAAAACATTATGATAACATTCTGCAGAGATTAAAAAAATTGGATTTTACACAATAAGTAATTAATATGCATGCTAAATCATATAGAAAAATAAGATTTGCCAATTGGGCTATTTCTGCAATATCTACAGTACTGTTATGAATACGGCTTTGAAGTCATGCCATATGTAGGAAGAATATCAACAGATCTCTGCATGCAACCTAATGGTACACCCAGCTTACTCTTCTACAGAGGTAAAAGATTTCAAGTAGTAATAAATCCTAGAAAATTTTTAATGGACAAATTGTGCAAACACTTTATTATTGATCAGTAAAGGAACTTCATCATATAAGCTGCATTAAAAAAAAAAAAAAAACACAATCTTTTCTGCTGATTCTGTTTACAGTACTCTGTTCTTATCATGTGCATAAGCTATCTTCTCACATTAACATTCTATGCTTGTATTCTAGCACTAAACAATAAAGTCTCCCCAAAAGCAAAAGGTATAGTTACTATTATCTATTAGTAGGATATTAACACTGATGCATTTGGCTTGCAAGCTTAGTTATTATAGTGGACTTAAATAGATCCTGTTTCTATCTTTCCTTAAAGACTACTAAAACTGTATGTCTGAGTAAATGTAAACGTGCATGCAGGTTTGCAAGACTGAAGATAAATCATATGTCTTGCAACATGCAGGCCTCAAGTATTTCCATAAGCATACAGCCATGGGTGCATTGGAAACACCAGTCAAAATATACCTGTATGTAAGTAGCATATTGAATCTCTGTAATGTACCTACATCCTGGCCATGGATATATCATATTCTCTATTCTCTCCAGAGAGTAACCACTGAAACCTATTCTTCCATATACAATGCTCAATGAAGAGCCAATAGGTTTGGAATTACTTTTTTTTTTCTGTTCCTGATTTATCTATAGGCTAAGGCATATATCAACCTCAGATAGGCTCATTCTTAAAATCAACCAAAGTAAAGCACAAGTGCTTTAAAGCACAACAGTTTTACTTTGAGATGGAGAAGTGAGGCTGATAAAGACTGCATAGGAAAACAATTTTCATGTTATGAATACAATACAGGAAGATAATCTGTGATATTAAAGCTAAACCATCTGACTGTTATTATGCATGAAATATAGATGTGCACTAGAAACGTGAAGAGAACAAACACTGAACACCAAAGGTGATCTTTAGTACAGACTTTCAAAATTCTATCACAAAAGAGGACTATATCACAGAGCAAAGTCTAAGTAATCCAAGGCAAGACCATTACGTTTTCTCTTGTTCTTCTACCAGTAAATATTATTTGTCTCTGTATATTCATCTTATTGATCTTTTAATAATATGCACAGAAACATAATTCCCAGAAGTTCACCCTGTCATTGTGACTAATCATTTCTTCCCTTCTCTAGACTTCACACCTTGAGAAAATAATTGCATCAGTGATTCATTCAATTAAACTGCACTGCACACGTTAAGATGTGCACATCAGTGGACAGATAAATTTTTAAATAGCAGCAATTATATTTAAATAGTAATAAAAACAACAATCAATAAAGAATCTGGAAGGAGAGTATAAATTTGCCTACTTAAAAATAATTTCCTGCCACCATATAAAATGCAATGCTGACTTCTCATCATCATTTTTTCCTAAGATCTCGAATGAAATTCCAACATACTTTTCTTCTTATGAGTCATAATATTCATACAAATGTAGCTATGAAACTGAATCTACTAACAAGTTCCTCAGACTTTCGCAATACGAAAAGCTGTAGCGTTTTTGGATATTGTGCTTCAGCAAAAAGCTGAAACTTGAAATATGGTGAGCTTCTTTAAAAGTAAACTACGTGGGAAGCAATCTGAGAACTATCTTGTTTCCAGATTATTAGAATAAGCTCAGATTTACTCTAGGACACTTAAAGAATAGGCCAAAGAAAATTCTCAGTGGTTTATAGTTATCTCTGAGAACTTGAACTGTAGCTAGAAGATGAAAAATGGACAAACACAATGCCTGTGCTAAAAAGAGAGAAAAAAAAGAGAGAGAAAGAAAGTAAAGAAGAAATGAGAGACCAGGAAGCTAACTTTAGTTCCTCTGAAAATTCTGCAATAAGTCATGCAACTACCTGTATGAAGATAACACAAAAATAATCAATGAATTGTAAACACCTCAAAAGTCAAACCAATTAAATTTCCTTCTGCAGTGTGCTAGTGGAGCTTCTATTTTTGAGATACAAGAAATGAACCTTCATATAACATCCTGATTTTAGGAAAGTTTTAAAACAGCAAACCACTTGACATTATAATAACCGTGTTACAAGTACACTGTCCAGGTAAAATACAGGAAAATCAGGTGCAAAAACTGGTTGAATAACCATATCCTGAAACAAGTTTTTTTACAGTGTTTTTATCAAGACAATGAAAGTTTACCTGGCAGAAATTCAGCAAGCTTTGGATTTGCCCAGCATTTTCAATAATAATACTAATGAGTTAGCTAAGCGTGTACTTGTCAATGCAGAGGATGGTGTGAGGTTGGGAACAACTGCAAGTATCTGGTAGAAGTACAAATTAACATAGCAAACTGAAGATTCAGGTAAATTAGGGAAAAAAATGGATTATGTGTAAAATACAATATGTGAAAGGGAGTATTAACTGCACAAGTATGTGATGAGGAAAAATGAGGACTGACAGCTTAAATAACTTCTTTAAAAAGAAAATGTGGATTTAGAATGAGTCGCTTGCCGATATGAATGAAAAAAAAGCCATAAAAGCCACGTTATTTGGACAAAATCCAATATATATCTAGAGGCAGAACAGCTCAGAAATGTGAATCAGTGCTTCTGCTAACCCTGCTAAGGTCTCAAAAAAGCTCCCTGTCTAGAATGAGCACAACAGCCTAGACAGAAAACCTAGAATACAAATGACTTAAGGTTTAGAAATGACAACATATAAATAATATTAAAAGGACTAGGAACCCTGAAAGTTAAGGGTGAGAGAGAAAGTATCAATCCTAAGCCTTACAACATTTTTCCCTTCCTGTATACTGTTTTTTTGCACTGCAGTTCAACCATAGGTTGTCAACCTTTAAGCCTTCTATGCTTAATAACAGAAGGCTTGAAAATATGTTCAGAGCATCCATTTGGTATATGAGGAAAAAAGATTGAGGTAAAAAGGCACTTGTAGGAAAACAGAAAGAAAACACCAAATCAGTGGCCAGAGTCTCTTCATGCACACGAGAAGCCAACAAACAAAACTCATGAAAACGAGAAATAATTCAAGTAGGGGACACATAAGCTATTAAAGACAATGAGCAAATTCGCAGCTTCACTAAAATAATATAGAGTTCTACAAACTTTTTTTCTAAGGTGAAGACATATTCTTTAAAAACCCGATTAAACATATAAGCTCACTTTCATTCCTCTCTCTGAATTTCACTTTCTGTGAGCTACAGGTTTCTAAGAAAGGCCTTAAGAATGCTCCAACACTCAAAGGACACTTAACTACTAGCCATTTCTTAATGCTCTCATTGGAAGTATTGCTATATACTATGAAAGATATATCACCTTTTAATGAGTCAAAATTAGTCATACATTTAAGTTTGTGCACTTAAATCTAGTCAAGCTACAATAAAACATGTAGCAATTCAAATTACATTAAAAGATTTTAAGGCTTCTCTTAGTATTTAAACCAAATAAATATACACAATCTCAAGAACAGATTGAAAATAGATGTCCAAACAAATGTATCTTCTGTTTCTTTGTGTGGACAGAAACCTAGTAACAACTGAAACTCATAATAAAATTTTCTAGAGAAAAAAAAAACATATCTGGAAAGAGAAAAATAACAACAGTGTTTGATGTTAGGAATGTGATATAAAGGTATTGAAATACCATCGTAGTTCTTAATCATCAGGACTTTTAGATTCTTCACAGTCCATGAATAACTGTTTCCACCTACAATCTTTCTGGGGCTTGTATCCCATGAACTAAAATACAGTTATGTTTACCAAGGAGAATTTGCCAGTAGAAATTGAGAAATTAATGAAAAAAAAGGTAGAAAGAGGTATAAATGACCTTTTACTCCCACTTAGCAAAAGTTTAAGGAATTTTTTTCAGGCTCTGGAAGATTTTTTCTTGAGCTCCACGTAGTTTTCCTGTAGCTTTGAGTTTGTGCGTACACATCACTATGGTTCACTCTTTATCTGATTCACTAGGGTTAACTAAAGACTAATATCCTATTAAAAATAGTCTGTCATTACTCTGTGCCCACATATTAATACTCAAGAGTAGCAGAAAGCATTTGGCTTCTTGCAGGGTCATTTAAAGTCTTAGAGAAATAGATATAGTTTTAAACTACGTCATTCTTTATTTTAATGTGGGTTTCCAAGTTTTTATTTAGAATGTATCAGAAATTGAATTACTTATTCACACTAAAGATCATTACAAGATTTATTGATACATAATAAAATTAACTTTTCTTGTTTTCAGTTTGGGAAGTGTAACACAGAAAAAGACGGAAAATATTACGTATTATATAAATCCCTAATTCTAAAAATTTTTATCTCAAGAAAAATGTGACAAATATCAAATAATAACATGGGAAGAGGGTCCCCATTATTTGGATAGCTTTGCATTTCCAATCTTTTTCTCTTTTTAATTTTACTTTTTAAAATTATTTCCATGTAACACTGACTTAGAGCATTCAGGCTAACATTATGTTCACAGAGAAAATTAGAATTTCTTAATGGTCTCTTTCCCTTTAATTACCAAATAGATAATTATAATTCTAGTTTTAAATCTCTGCATGTAATAACTGTCCTTTCAATCTCAATAAAAATGAGCAAGGGAAACTTGTAGAGACCTGAACATATAGGGTCTTATAGATCATTATTCAATTTCCAGATTAGG